TTTCTAATCCGCATACGACACAATCGATCGAGATCAGCTATGGCAGATTATGCACGAGTACGGATTTCCGGATAAACTGACGCGATTGTTCAAGGCGACGATGGATCGAGTGATGTGCGTTGTTCGAGTATCGGGGACACTCTCGAGTCCCTTTGAATCTCGAAGGGGGTTACGGCAAGGTGATGGACTTTCGTGTCTGCTATTCAACATCGCGTTAGAAGGTGTGATCAGAAGAGCTGGGATAGACGCGAGTGGCACGATCTTCAGGAAGTCCATCCAGCTTCTTGGCTTCGCCGATGACATCGACATCATGGCACGGAACTTTGAGACGATGGCGGAAACGTACATCAGACTGAAGGCTGAAGCTAGGCGGATTGGACTTGCCATCAACGCATCAAAGACAAAATACATGAAAGGAAGAGGTTCTAGGGAAGACTATGTTAGCCTCCCACCTTGAGTTCAAATTGACGGTGACGAAATCGAAGTTGTCGATGAGTTCGTGTATTTAGGCTCACTGGTGACCGCCGAAAATGATACCAGCAGAGAAATTCAAATACGCATTATGGCAGGGAATCGTGCCTACATTGGACTCCGGAGGAGGCTCCGGTCGAATAAAATTCGCCGCCGAACGAAGTTGACTGTCTACAAGACGCTGATTAGACCGGTGGTCCTCTACGGCCACGAGACCTGGACTAGGCTGGTTGTGTGTTTTAGAACGGAAGGTGTTGCGTACCATCTACGGTGGAGTGCAGATGGATGACGGAACGTGGAGGAGGCGAATGAACCACGAATTGCACAAGCTGCTGGGAGAACCATCCATCGTCCAAATTGCAAAAAATGGGCGACTACGGTGGGCTGGGCACGTCGTAAGAATGCCGCACGACGACCCAGTGAAAATGGTTCTAGAAAGCGACCCAACAGGAACAAGAAGAAGAGGCGCGCAGCGGGCAAGGTGGATCGACCAAGTAGAAAGCGACCTGCGGACCCTTCGCAGACTACGAGGCTGGCGAAGTGTGACCATGGATCGAGTAGAGTGGATACCACTTCTTCGGACAGCAGAGGACAACAAGGCCTTAGTCTGATTGGTAAGGTAAGTATGATAGCTGCTACATGAATAATACCCTTATTTGAGTAATGAATTTATTTTTCAGATGTCTCAAAGACTATTTTTTCCAAATCATTTGCCCTTGGAAACACATCTAGTAGAAGAGTTTTTCAAACTGTGGTGAAAATTTGAGCGCAAAATATTAAGAAATGAAATGGTGAAAATAGGCCATTTTTTGACAATTGCCGGTAATCAGTCTGTTAACTGTAGTTACTATAACAAAAACATAATGTGGGTGCACCTTTGTGAATCTTTATTAAAAAAAAACCCTTTAAAATGACGTTCTAAGATCACGAATAGCTTCTTTGGTTGTGGAGTAATCGCTTCTGAAAGTTGAAATTGTTTAAAATCTCGAAAATCCAGGGTTGTAGCCCAGATGGATCTAGGCACTTTAGAGTAAAATCAAAAAAGGCGTTCAGAAAGCCAAAATAAGCGTTTTGGTCAAGTTTGGCTCAAATCGGTGACATCGACCACAACTTTTTTAAGTTCTGTACCCACTTTGAACTGGAATGACCCATATCTAAAAGCATCAATTTACTGCATTCCATACAGTTGCAGATAAAAATCAAGACATACTTTGATCCAAAATTTGTACAATCATTTTTACCGATGTTCGGATATTCCGGCGGGTCATCTGGTGACTACTCAGAGCCACTGACCAGTTTATATATCAAAAACCATAATGTTATAGCATTTCTTATATTTTCAGATAAAAATCAAGGCATACTTTGATCCGAAATTCGACACACTAATTTTTGAGGATGTTCATTATATTCCCGTGGGCCATCTGGTGATAACTCAGAGCTAATTGATCAAAAATCACAATTTTACTGCATATATAAATTTACAATTTTTCGACGTAATCAATATTACGGATGATCCGGAACTTCCTGAGGACCATTCGGTGACCATTCACAGAGTCTGAGACCACACAGATAAAAATTCTGAATTTTAATAGTAATGTAAGCATTCATTCACGCAAACTTGTATTTCATTTCACGCAACCGAGCAACTTGTAAACAATGTTGTTTATAACAATGGACTTTTGTATACAATATTTGCTACATTGCATGAAATGAACTTTACATGATTTATGTAGAAATTTACACTACTTTTTCGAACTGTGCAGCTGATATATCAAAAATCACAATTTTACTACATTCCATATAGTTGCAAATAACAATGAAAGCATTCTATGATCAAATATTCGACGCAACTAATTTTACGGATGTTCCGCATCATCCGGTAGGCCATACCATGAACACTCAGAATTTTAAACCAGGTTGTAGATTGCTGTTGTTAAAATAATAATCAGCACTATTCATACAAGCCTGTTGCTGTGGTTTTGAAGCAGCAGCTTGTCCTAGACCATTGTACCTCTGCCCCATCGGATGCCCCCGCGGAACGCAGAATAAAACCGGAACCACTCGTATTCCGGTTTCAAAAGACCATAACTGCGCACATTTTTCTACTAGGGGAAACAGTCCTATCATTGCGGTACGTTAGAAGCGTTAGGAACCTATTGTTGTATATGGAGACCTCCATACACAACAATAGGCACCTAACGCTACTAACCTACCGCAATGATGACTGTTTCCCCTAATTGTGAAAATTCCAGCCAATTCCATGGCAAAACTAAAAAGCTATTCCCTGTCCCTATGCCTGGTCGGAAAGAAAAGCGTGCATATCGCGTTTTAGGCCCTCGCCATAAGTAAGGTGGGCGATGTTGAGTTCAAACGCTAAAAACTTTGCAGGGTGATTCCGCTCCGAAAACACTGCCTCCGATCTTCAGTGAAGTTGCTCCCCATACCCCAAAAGTTCTTCATTTTTCACACGAAGAAAATCGAATACGTACAGCGCCACCTAGAGGCTAAAATGTGAATCTGCCACATTCCCCCATACATTTTTGCAATTTTTCCCAATTATAGAGGGGGGGGGGGGTTCCTGCCATCTTAATCAACCATTCCAGGGTGAAGCTTTTGAAATTTAATGATTGACCTCATTTGAGCCACCCTAATTGAACATCCACAAATATGCATCCATTTGATTAACAGTAAATGGAAGATTCCCATAATTACGGTTGACTGTAAAGCTTTATAAAATGTTTCATGTAGTTTTGTTATTGAAGATATTTTTCCCACATTTTGCAAATATTTACGTAAAATTTGGTCATGTTTAAAAAAAAAACTTTCGTTTTATGCTGAATATTATTGTACCGGAAAACTTTTGAGATTTTTTTTTTCCCTTGATTTGTTTTCCGTCGATCTTGTTTTCCGTACTCAGCACCAATGCTACCGACGCCAGAGAGGCAGCTCCCACACCTGGACCCTACCTATCGACCCATCATTTCATGAACCGGGGACCAACAGCTTTACTTCCCTACCGAAGGAAGGCGTGATCAGAAATGTTATGCCTCAGAACATCCCGGCGGCGCCGACTGGGATTGAACCCAGGCCTGCTGGGGTGAGAGGAAATCACGCTTACCACTACACCACCGGCGCCGCTAACTTTTGAGATTTGAATCGGTCAAAATGGAAACTTAAAAATAAAAATTCACTGGCCACTCTGCATAAACTACGCAGACAATTTTTGAGAGATTTAGGACCCCCTCCCCTCCCCCTCACCAAACCATCATCCGTAAATTGTCTACGTAGTTTTAGGATAGCCCCTAATATGCAAATGTGACAATGAACGGTGGAGTTGAAATTTCCGGTAAATTAACGTCTAGTTTTGCGTAATTTTGAATTGCACACGAGATGGAACAAATGTGAACTGTGTTTCGTAATCAATACGTTTCTAATTGCGATAATAATCGAACGTCTAGAATGCACATCTCGACACTAACAGGGAAAAAAAAGTTCAAACCGACAATATTCAAATGGAACGCGTTGCCGCATTTAAAATAAACTGAATTCCAAATTGCTTCCTTCCCCAAACGAACCGTTCGTCTAAGCTACTATCGTCTAAACGGTGGATGTTGATGCTGAGAGCGTCGCGGAATGGAGCGTGAGTGGGCGTCTGATGTCAAAATAAACTTCATTTTTATAATGCGCACGTGTATTTATTTGCCGTTCTCCAATAGAATGGAGGTTCGATGATCCGGTAAAATATTCATTTGAGTAAGTGAATCTTAGACAAAAACATCTGACGTGCAGCCAATACCACACCAACACGGAGCGATCGGTATTCGAATATTCCCTCTAAGCACTTGTCGATTCGACGGGGCAAATGTGGTTTGAGTTGTGGTTGCGAACCAAATGCGCGCGCACTGTTTTTGAATAATCTGTTACGGCTATGGCTGTCGGAAGTGATGTTTACACACTTGGGAGATGCGGAACCTAGCAGTTCAGACTCGGAGCACACGCAATGCATACGTCTCCGGCTATTCTTCCTCTCTAGATTCGTGATGGATCCAAGTGAAAAATGATTTACACAGCAAGTCCATCTTATGGCCAACAGTTTGGGGTTTTTAGAACAAGGCCAAACGTAAGCGAAAACTTAAACACTCGAATTGTTCGGATGTATTGAGGGTGGTAAGGAATCGTTGCTCTCAGTATTGTTTTCATCTATTATTGACCCGATAGCGACCGGTCGTTAAGTTGGAGAGAGTTGGTGCAATGGTAGAAATTGTACATCCCTGTTTGTAATTTTCTTAAGTTTTGTTTTGGAAGTTTGTTATTAAAAACCCTCTTTAGTTCGTTCCGTTAAAATAATAAAACACCTTGAGTTAAAAATTGATAATCAACATAACAATAGTGGACAGATAAAAAAAAAAAGTTGAAGAAATCAAAATACTAAGAAAGAATATCAGATTAGATGTGATAGGATGCTGAGTTGTAAGCAATCAAACAAAGGGACTATGTTTTTAGAAATCAAATATAGTGTTGGTACTCACTTCGTTTACTGCTCTCCGACTTGAGCATAGACGGTTTGTGCGGATAGGCTTCCTCCTTCTTGGGTATTTCCTCGAGCAGTGGCTTTTCCACGCGCTTCAGCTGAACTTCCGGTAGCTTCTCCTTCAAGCGCGGTGCCTTCAGGTTTGAGGGCACCTTACGTAGCTGCACGCGGAAACCTTTAGGTTCCGGTGAGGCGGATCGTTCCTTGCGTTCATCTTGTGGGGGTCGGATCACTTTCTTCAGTGGAGGTTTGATGAAGGTCTTCGGTTCCGGGGAGGAAGATTTCTCCGATTTGGAAGATTTGCTGTCGGTGTCGGTTTTCTCCGGGCTTTTGGAGATTTTTTTCAACTGGATGGGAATTTTGGGTTTCGACGGAGATGGTTCCCGTTTTGGTTCCGGCTTTTTAACTGGCGGTGGCGGTAGGGAGTCTTCTTCAGATTCCGTTTCCGTTTCATACTCGGTGCTGCCTTCCTCTTCCTCCTCCTCTTCTTCCTCTTCCTCTTCTTCTTCTTCCTCTTCCTCTTCGGATTCGGATTCCGGAGAAGGTTCTTTGGGTTTGGGTTTCGGTTTGGCGGGTTCCCGAAGCACCGTCATTTGTGGAGTGGTGTTTTTGATCATTGGTCCTGGTTTGGTGAGAGGTGGTTGAACAGGTTTCTTGTGTTGAACCACGACTGGAACCTTGATCTCTCTGGATTGAAGCTTGGCGGTGGTTTTGGGTGGTTCACCATTTTCCTTAACTGCTGCAGCTGCTGGAGCAGCAGTTGTTGGTTTCTTTACAATTGGAGCCGTTTTGCTTTCACACTTTTCACCTTTGGTCGAAGTTTTGGAATCTGTAGAATCCGTACTGGGATCGGTTGTCGTCGAATTTTTCCGTGCCCACGCAGGTGGAACGTTTTTATTCACTGTCTCAAGTCTATCCTTTAGCCAAGGTGGTCGATTGCTTCCATTCACTGGCATGGTATGGGTTACAACTACTATTCCCTAATTTCTCACTAGATGACAATCTCTATTTGATTCACTCAAGCTTCTGATTCACCATTTGCTGATGCTGATTTTATGTACAACACATTTTATTTCTTAGATGAGAAGACTAATTTTCCATTTTTTTTTAATTACAGAAAACTAAACGAAAGGATCAAACTAACGAACAAAAATCACACTTTGTGAAGACGGTGAGTACCCATGATCTACAACTACACACAGTACTTAATCTTCTCTGTATGAAGTCCTATCATTGTATAATACACTGAAGGCCGGTTGGGACATTTTCTGGTACGTGTCATGCTCATCTTTCGTAAATAGAGAAAAACCACGACGACGAAAACGACGACGGTTCAATCACTCACCGGTCAACAATTGCGAGTCACCGCGATGCTGCTGACTCAAACCATTCGTAATGAAATATATTTGAGTCGACTGAATCGCGTACTGTCTATAAATATCAGGCCTAGTATCAAAATAAAAAAAAATACACTATCCGCAACTGCGAATGCGATGAAAACATTCGCCGCCCACCCATCATCGTTGACCGAAGGGCCACTCGCTGGCCACCTGTGTACTACTCCCGGTTCTGTTCCCATGTCACCTATACAGCGCTAAACCAGAGCGATCTATAAAGCAACGCTTTTCGTTGGTCTTCGTTCATAAAATTGTCAAGCTAGCTACCTTTGTTTGATACACATAAATTTTGTCTATGAGTCAATAATCTGAAAATATCTTCCGTCAAATGATGTCCACTTTTCTACAGACATCTCCCCACGTCTAGTTGAGGAAAGCGCGGATTTTGGTGACATGCGACAATTCAAATTTTGAATTTCTTCTAGACAATTTTGTCTTATTATCGACCTAATTTTCGCAATCATGTCCGTAACTGTACCAACAAAACCGGAAAAGGGATTTTATTATCACCAACAAACCGGGAAAATTCCGTGCATTTAAAAATTGACCAGATCAATTGAGAGGTAACCGTGACTGCTTCTAGGTTCAATCCCAGCCGGTTGCGTTGGTATTTTCTAAGGGAGCAGTGTCAGGAAAAATAGCGAATTGAATCTTTAAATCGACCTTTTATGCATGCAACTTTGCGTAATTATTTGTTGTCAGCAATGATACACATTTTTGCTAAAATTCGGTCATTTTGGATATTGTAAAATTTTCCAAATGGCGTCCTTAAAATTTTTCAAAACGTTGTAGCACGGAAATGGCATTTCTGATCGACAAAGTTGTAGAGAAAAATATGTCTTCCTAGAAAAAATTAACAATTTAAAAAAAAATAAGTAAAAATTTAAACAAAAATTAAAAAACCCCAAATGTTCTTGCTCAAAAAATAAAATAACAAAAAGTTCAAAAAATTTACGAAAAGTTCTTGTTGTACGATTTTTGTCAATTTTCAAGTGTTCATAATTTCCAATAGTTTGCATTTTTTATGAACTATTTAAAAAAATAAAAATACGAACTTAAACATTTTGAGATATTTAAGATTTACAAGTTTTTTTTTATTTTATTTTTGTAAAATTTCATTACAATTTCTTTTTTTTTTTATATTTTTCTCTACAACTTTGTCTCAGACATCATTCGATAAGATTTTAAGAAAAATTTCAAAGATGCTATTTTTAAAATTTTACAAAATCCAAAATGGCCGAATTTTAGCAAAAATGTGAATCATTACCCATAACAAACAATTATACAAAGTTTCATGCAAATCGGAGAAGGACGAGTTTTTACGCTTCGTCATTTGGCGTGTAAAAAACTCTCACCATGTCTTCCTTCGGAAGGGAAGTAAAGTTATTGATGGGTTCGATATTTAGGATTCAGGTGTGTTGTTAAATTCCTGTCATCGGTGATTGGCATTTGATTGCGAAACAGAGACGGGCAGAAAATAAACGAATTAAAAAAAAAAGAAGAGGGAAAACCATCTTCTAGCATAATATATGAAAGTAGATTAGTTCTATTTCTGCTTATTTGAAAGCAAGCGTTTTCATAATGTAGCATATAAATTTTATTAATTTACATCTCGACGCCCTATCATATTTTAATTTTTTGTTAAGATGCAAAACGAAAATGAAAATAATGCAATTAATAATGTATAATAATTGTCGTATGTACATAGGAAATAAGTTTGTTTCAAATTGCTTGTGGCCCTAGCAAAATTTGCATTGTATTGCTCAATGTAGACGATTATCTTTTGCCCATGCATTCAGATTTCCTCAATGTTTAGAATAACCATTTTGGCGTTTATGAAAATTCCGGTGTTTTCGGTCTTTCTTCTTTAACCGTTTGCTGTTTTAATGCCATTTTTGACTTTTTTGGCTACTTTCAAGTTGTTTTGATGTTTGCAGTTGTTTTGATTTTCTTAGACCAGTTTTTTAAAGTTTTTAGTACCATTTTTCCTTTTCATCTTTAATGTGCGTTTGGCGAAAGATGACAAAATTGTGTTGCATTTTTAATTAATTCTTGAAGTTTTTAAGACCATTTTGGCGTTCTTAAACTATGATTTATAATAGATTTAGCTGTTACTTGGCCGGAAAGTATCACATCCGGATGAGCATGTCCAGGCCAAATAGCGAAATAATAAACAAATTTTACATTTTGACTCTCAGAATTCTATAAAACATCGCATAATTTTTCGCTAGAGGCAATGAACGAAGTTTGTGCTGGAATTCGGCCATTTCGACAAAAGCCCAATTTATAAAAATGGCGTATGCGATATTTTGCAATAAATCATACACACTTAGTTTTTTCTACCGAGCTTGGCTGTGCAAATCTCGGCAAAAGAAGTTTCACTGAGATCTCAGCAAAAGTGACATTTGATTGCTGAGTATCGGATAATGCTTAGCTGAATCTCAGCAAACAAATGAAATGTTTGCTGGAATCCCAGTAAAACTTTTTTTGCCGAGATTTACACAGTCGAGCTCGGTAGAAGAAACTAAGTGTGTAGCACATGTATTCGAAATCACGTCTGAGCAATGTTATAGAAAACTGTATTGCCTTTTCGGAAAAAAATACACACTGAAAAAAAATCACAAATTTTCGTCAAAAAAACTTCATTTACAAAAAAGTACATTTTTTAAATTTGTAAACTTATGTTTATTTGAAAGCTTATCAAAATTTCAAACTTAGCGGCGCCGGTGGTATAGTGGTAAGCCTGACTGCCTCTCACTCCAAAGGGCCTGAGTTGTGGATTCAAAATAGGAATGTCTGTAACAACCCTGGACGTCATTTCGATTAGATGAATCGTTCTCGTGCTATGGTTTATTGAAAAATATCGAACGCGCCATTTCTTTTTTTTTAATTAGGCGTGAATTAAAAATGGCTGACAGCACAAACTTGGTTCATTGTGAACAATTATGCAAAGTTTCATGGAATTCGAAGGATACGTAAATTGGCGTGGAGCTACTCGGATGCATTGTGCGCCGCGCTCAGAATAACATTAATTTAAAAAATATCAGTTTCGCTAAAACACATCCACACATCCACGACATAGGATTACGGGATGTAAACTAGGCCTAGCCCCTCAACTCGACCTATTAAGCAAATAAATCTTTAGTACGTATGTGGGCAGTGGAATTTCGTCTGCATGGCAATTATTTGTTAAGATCAGGATTAATTCCATTTATTTTTCATGTTATGTGTTATGACATCAATGTTAACAAAATCATCAATCAAATGATATTTTTCCGCTCTCATACGCTCTCAATATCACGCATGATATTGGAACAAAACATCATGCTTGATATTGATTTTACATGCTCCTTTGATATTGTGAGACTATTCACAACGTGCAAAAAACGAGCTGAAAGTTGACTCGACACAAAAATGATTCCGTTGCACATCGTTTTCTTAGAAAGAGAAAGTATAGTCTGCTGTCTCTTTTTACTCTTCACCAATTGCAGACACGAAGTGACTGTTGCCAGCCGTTATGGAAGAGTGTAAGCAAAAATCATGAAACCACCACAGTTTGTTAAGATTTGCAGCTAGTGAGTTTTGTTAGCTTGATATTCTGAGCTGCGATATCACATCTTGAAAAATCAACCGCAGTTGTTTACTTGTTGATTTTTGTTGAAAATCAAGCGTGATTTTGGGCATTGGTGAGATTTGATTTTTTGATATTTTCCCATATTTTGATGTATGTAATTATGAAATCATTAGATGTTATAATGATATTTTGTATTTATAAGTTACAATACGAGGTTGTAAGGAATGTGTTATACACCTTCCAATTTTGCTTGCAAAGAGCGGTAAACCATTTTCTGATCGTTGTTCGCTAATAATGGGTGGGCTGCTTTGCTGCTTATTAGATCCAGGTTAGGGTCATAGTAGGGTACATTTTCATATAAAAATAAATAAAAAATTAAGTAAAACATTTTTTAGAAGGTACACCGTCTCAACTTAACAATACTACTAACAATGAGCATTTCCATGCTAACTGACGAATCGTTCAAACTTTACTAACGAATTCGATGAAACCTGGCATAATTGTTCACTATGACCAATAAACCAAGATCGTGCTTGAATTCCCCCATTTTGACTCACGCCTATTTTTCCAGTATATTTCCAACGCCTAATTTTCCAATATAGATATTTTTCTCCCTCTGCCGTATGGTGTAGGTGGCTAGGTCGTCCGGGAAAAGTCCCTTACTCACACTATGTTTTGTCACGCTCCTACAAACATGCAAATGGAGCTTTTTTTACAATTAATTTATTTGATAAGGCTCAACCGAATTAACTTTACAGAGCCGAGGATTCTTGTTCACTATACAAAACATCCTAAATCTATAGTCAAAAAAGTACAACACAATAAACATTTTATCTTCCACTATCCAAAAAGCCTCCTCCATCAGAACTGGAGCCGCTTCCAGCGGTTTCATTGTATGACAGTATCGCCAACGGAGGCAGAGTGCTTCCAATAGACGCAAAACGTGGTCAGCACTCACACACTCATCACTAAACGGTTGCTTTGCAAAGTCGACGACGCATCGACCGAATGAACTGCTAATAAAGAACAATGAGGAGGATCACACAATGGTTGCAACCGAGTAAACAGACGATCGCGTTATTCCAATTTCCTGGTCAAACCAGGTGAAATATCTTGGATTAGTACTTGACCAAAAATTAACTTTTAAAGATCACATTGAGGGCATTCAAGCCAAATGTAACAAAAATATAAAATGTTTGTATCTTCTTATTAACAAAGCCAAACTTTGCCTGACGAATAAATGTCTAATATTTAAACATGTTTTTAGGTCGGCTATTCTTTATGCTGTGCCAATATGGTCTAGTTGTTGCACTACCAGAAAAAAGCACTCCAAAGTATTCAGAACAATGTTCTGAGGATGATTTTGAAGTTGCCTCCCTGGTACAGTACTACCGAGGTACATAGAATTTTGAATGTTGAGACCAGTCTTGTAAGCGGTCACGGTAGTCGACACATTTTCTGTGATAATTGACTGCCTTTGCCTCCGACACTTGCAAAACAAGCTATCATAGTACAGTACCAAACTAAAATGTCGTATGACAGGCTCTGTCATACGACACCGTCGCCGAAGACCGTCACGAATGTATGTATTTTAGTTTTTCTCATAATAAGAGCTGCTGATGGTGTGCTTGTGTGAATTCTGAAAATAGCAAGCAATGATGTCCTAGTAATAATATTTCTGATCAGAAATGGTTTGATTTACACCAAATTGAGGAATTACAACGAAATCACACATGTCATATGATAGCTATTTTGATAATTTTCCTTTAGCTCGAATGTTATTCTACCGCTCGTGTTGTATGAGAGAGACGACGGTAGAGCATGAGTGTTCGAATACAAACAAGCTGTCGCGCACGACAACAGAGCGAGTGTAGTAAAAAACGTCAACTGTTTCAACCCCTGGTTGAGACTTTAGAACAAATTTAATGTCCAACAAAATAATTAATAATTTCAGGCAAAATCGTTGCAATCCTCAATTGCAACGATTGATTCCCTTTATAATTAGATAATATTTAGTTTTAGTTTTAAGATTTCAACT